AAGTCGGAGAAGAGAAATGAAACATCTTTCTTTTTTATTTAATGAAGGGTGCTTCTATTGGTGCTACCTTCTCAAGGGAATTCTGAATTGGCGAATCAAGCTAGCTTGAGTCAGGGTGCTCAGCTGTTATATCACCTCAAGTTTATCCCTTTTCTCCCTCCTAACTTCTTCTTTCTCTACTTCCCTTTCTATTAATTTGCAGCCTGCCTATGTTTCCTGTTTTCAATATACTAGAGTGTTCTTAACTGTATTATGGTGCGTGGGACCATCACCTATGAGGTGCAGGAGTGCCTACTCATTAAAATTCTGCTGCAACCTCATATGTGGTTTAGGAACTCATTAAATTCCCACTGTGACCCTTCAAGAAGCTTACACCCCGACACCTCCATCCTGCTTGTGCTAGGCATGTTCTCCACCTGCAGCTCTCTGCCTATGAGGTGTGCCCACATTCCCCAGCCCTGGCCTAGCAGGCCACCTTTGTTTGACCTAACGCAAAGCCTCAATTCAACCGTAATTACTTGCATCCACTTAACATATTTTTACGCCCTTAAGTCCCAACCTTTTCATACCTACAATATTTTAACACAGCTTAAGAGTCTTACTGTATTGTACCCAAAGGAGTATATATCTTCTAGTTGAAACAACTTTTGGTATAAAAATGTTTTTAGGTGGGATGAAATCAAACTTAAAACTTGAGAAAAGTGATTGAAAAATCATTTTACTTTTAAGTCTATTGTTTTAAAAAAGGAAAGCAATGTAAGGGCAGAAGGATTATTGTAAGGTTACAGTCTTATGTGTGTATGAATGTGCCGAGTTTAAATTCTGTCTCTCTTCACTGTATTTTATAGTATTGGATAAATTAAAAATATTTATGTTTACTAAAAGGAAAAGAGAGAAGCCTGTAGTGTAATGAGGGAGTGGGCACGGTGCTTCATTGTACAATGTTCTTCATGCTTGAAGCTCCACGAAGTTGAGAATATTCACTGTGACCAGCATTTGTTGTCATTGAATATGAATGTGAGACCTGGTGGGGAGGGTGGCAGCAGACTTCTTGGGTGAATCTGTTAAGGGCCATTTGGGATGATCAGGGCTCCCAATACTGGGAAGTTAAATACTGTCAGACAGAGGATAATCAGATGAGAGCATTATGAAAGTGGATATTAGCAGCATTCCTTTCTTTCTACACATAATTTTTCATTCTTTGTTCACATAACTATTGACTTCTGTTCCAATTCCAGTTTGAACACATATGGAAACTAATTTATGTGTTTCACCAGTGCGGCTTGAATTAGGATATTTGTGCTACTGTTCACTTCAGAACAAAGGCATTTGTGTCACACGGCATGGCGGGTCAAGACCTGACAAGTCCAGGTTGCTAGAGTGACCGTGGACTCACAGCTTCCCAGCTTCCACATCTTCCACACTGCTCACTCTTCTCCCAACAGCTACCTGCTGATATTATGTGCTGAGAAAGAGAAACTGAGGTGCCTACGCAAGACTGTCTTAAAATGGTGGCATGTAAAACAATTACAGAACCCAAAACAACGGGCAGAGGAGACATACTCACACACTGCTTGCTTAGTAGCATCTCACCTTTAGGGTGTTTTTCACCCATAGACTTGCCTGACCTCTCATGTAGAACTTGATGTGTGTACCATAAATTTGACCTTTATGTAACCACTAGAGGCCTGGTGCACAAAATTTGTGCAGGCCCGGCCTGCACCCTCTCCAATCCAGGACCCCTTGGGGGACATCCCTCTCGCAATCCAGGACCGCTGGCTCCCAACCACTCACCTGCCTGCCTACCTGATTGCCCCTAACCACTCTGCCTGCCTGCCTAGTTGCCCCTAACCGCTCTCCCCTGCTGACCTGATCCCCCCTAACTGCTCTCCCCTGCCAACCTGATCACACCTAACTGCTCTCCCTTGCCAGCCTGATTGCCCCTAACCACCTGCCTTGGCCCCCACCACCGTGGCTTTGTCCAGAAGGATGTCCGGTCTAATTAGCATATTACCCTTTTATTAGTATAGATGTGCCCCACTTTCCCCAGAACAGTCCTTCCTGATGTATGTCTGTAGTCCTAGCATAATTATTAATATACCTCTTTTTCCTCCCAGAAATGGCCTGATTTGGATAAATGATGTAGCACCCAGTTGGTAAGCCTTGGTGCTTGCTGCTCTTCTTCGAGGTTTTCCTTAGCTCTGCTGGTGAGGAAAAGCCTTCCCTGCTGGCTTCCAGGTCCCTTCAGAAGAACTTGTTCTGCTCCCAGCCATCCACTCCATGTCCTCAGCAGAGATACAGCCCGAGAGCTCAGCCTGCTCATTTCAGAACTGGACTTTCTAGAGACTGGTAGTTCCACTATGTTTTACAGGGAAGTGAATGATTTTTCACTCGTGGAGAACAGGTGGTTTACCTGGGGCCCAGTGCCTGCCTTTCCTAGGATTCTTCCTCATCGCCCCAGGCCCTGTTACCTATGCTGTCTCATTCTGAACAACATGCTTGATTATCCCACTCACAAGCTCTCACGACAAGGTTACCTAAAAGAAAGCATGTGGTTCATTCTTTAGAGTAAGGAATTCAAGTTATTTTCCAAAACGCTAGAAACCATTCACCCTTCATGGTGCGGGCCTGACATCTCCTAGATGTTGGTCGATGTTTGCTCACACAGCGAATGTTGATTAGGGTTACCATGCGCTAGGCATCATGCAGGTGCTAAGGATGCTACAATGAGTGAAAGAAAGTTTTAAGGGAGGGATAGCTGTGGTCAGCCAGGAGGAAAGGATGGAGCAAACGGGGATGGGTGCTATTTATAGGAAGTGGGAAGGCAGAGTAATGGGCTATGGGAGCCTACGGTGTCATTTTATGTCTATCTCAGTGTCTGTTACAGGCTCCTAGAAAAGGAGCTGTTTTTCTTCTTTAATATTCCCCAAAGCAGTCAATACTAGAAAGAAGTGTGTAACTTGGGGGAGTGGGGTGGAGGGAGAGGTCCTTTAAAATGGAAAAATAGAATAATTAAAGTGACCTTTATCAGATCTGGCAGTTAATGGTTAGAAAACCATCTGCCTTTGTAATTACAAGCAAAAGTAGCAGTCTAAAAGAACTTTTATTTGCCACCTTTAGACATGCTCCAGTGACTGTGTGGTTGAGAATTTTGAAAATAATGAATTACCTGTAGAGAGAGGTAATTAGAATGCAGTTAGCACAACCTCTCTGTCTCCTGGTGAGACAGGAAGTGTTCCTCAGAGAAATGTTATTATCAACAGCCCTGTTTATGTATATTCCCAGCGCTGCTAGCTGACTTCATTAACTAGATATGAAAGAAGTTTCTGCACCCTGTCAGGCATTCCCAAGAATACAGAGTGAAGAATTGTTATTTTGACTATTGTTTAGATTTTAAAAGGGAATGGGTATGTGCCATGTAGAATCATCAGGAGGTACACACATTTAATTAGTCATTCCATTAGAAAAACCTGTCCAGGGCACAGGCCTGTGCTTTATTTCTGTGTAGTGAAGGCTGCCCTTCGGCTCATGTAGGAAACCATGCCAGCTGCGCAGTGCGACTCCCAGGAACTCTGCTGACTGGCTCCCACCCTCCTCCAGCCTCCTCATTCGCTCATTTTAGAACTGCAAAATCATGAGTCCTATCCTATGTCGGTTAAAGAAGTAGTGTCAAGAGTTCCTAACAAGAAAACCTACAGTTAGGTAGAATCACAGAAAACAGACTGTCCGAGCAGGAAGGGACCTGAGGGCTCGTCTTCTCCAGCCCTTCCTTTTGCAGAAGAGGAAATGGAGGCCTACATTTAAAACACACATCTGACTCATAGCAGAACCTACTGTTGTCCTTCAGTTACCCATAGGACTGTAAGAGTTAATACCCCTACAGTCCTTAGAACAGTGCCTAGGACATAGTAAGTGCTCAGTAAACTCGAGTTATCACTTGTTATTACTTCTAGTGGCAGAATTCAAATGAGAATCCAAATGCCCTAACGCAGCCCAGTGTTCTTTCATATTTTGCATGTCCCACATTGTAGACAGAGAAATGTGTCTGAAGAAGTTGAGTTAAAATCAAGAGTGACGGCCTCAATGCCATTGCTGAGCGCGTGCTCCATGCTGAGTTCTGGGCTAAGCACTGCATATGCGTTTTCATTGAATCCTCACCGTGTCCTGTGAGATTCACACTCTTTCTCGTCTTCATTTGACTCCCATAAAGGCCGATAGGTAACTTGTCCTTAGTCACACCATTATTAAGGGGCTGGGCTAGGCTTTAAAGCCTACTTTCTCTGACTTCAAAATCTATATACATAACTGTGATTTTATTTCAGGAGTTGGAAAATTATGGCCCTTGGACCAAATCCAGTCCTTCCTGGTTTTGTACAATTCTAGATTGAGAATGGTTTTTTAACAATTTTAAATGGCTGATCAAAAATAAAGAAGAAGAATATTTCATGATGTGTGAAAATTATGTGAAATTCACATTTCAGTGGTCATAAATGAACTGTGTGGGAACATAGCAGGGCTCTTTCGTTTGCGTGTTGTCTGTGGCTGGCTCTGAGATGCAACAGCAGAGTTGAATCGTTGTGATAGGGATCCTGTGGCCTGAACAGCCTACTACCCGGCCTTCATTCTATCCTCCTTCTCAGTGATGATGCTCTATGAGATTCTAATGATTTAGAGCACTATAGTGGGATTTCACAGGGCCTAACTCCTCCTGTTCCCTGCCTTCTTTGTTTGTTCTATATTAATTGACATATCAATCAAATGATGAATAGTGTGTATAAAAGAAGCTCACCCTTAAATACCTGTATCTTGTGTTTTGAACAGACTGAGGGATGATTTGTTGCTGGATAACCTCGAGACTTGATGATGACCTTTTTTGTAGTCTGGACTGCAGCTACTTGTCTGTGGTGTACATGCCCCCCATATCCATTTACTGAGCTGGTTATTTTTAAACCTCCAAGTATCTTAGACGCAGAACTCACTCTATTGTCTTTCCTTTGTAGTGGCTTGCTGTCTTCTGATTACGTGGAGATTCACTATGAGAATGGGAAGCCACAGTACTCTAAGGTACGGTTAACAGCTTATGAAGTCCTGTAGTATAAAGAGACTTAGTCATAGGCCTGGTCAAGGCACACTACATGGTTTTGATGTCTGTCTTCAGTAAAAGTATTTGTCGTCTTATACAATGGCACAAAAAATTATGTTTTTAATTTTAAAGTACATTTAGAAGAAATTTATTAAACACTTCCAAATGTTGAAGATAACAATAGAGATTCAGTCTATTTAGGGCAGTAAAGAAACGTTTGTTTTGGTTACACATACAGTATATTATGTAAGTGAATGGTAAAAAGAGCTATACAGTTCCATATCAGCATTTTAAATTAGTAGATAACCAGGCTATGGTCATAGAAACTGAATGGCAAGACTGGGTGGGTCATTAGAATGAGTATTTAATCCAAGTGACTCTAGAGCCCCAGAAGGGCAGAGGACAGGTAGGGGAAGGAAGATTTAGGGAGCACCCTCCCTCCTCATCTCCACAACAGTTCTTTGAGGTGGATATTATTATTCCTGTTGTGCAAAGGAAGAAATGAAGGCAGAGAGAAGGCAAATAAACCTGCCAGCAAGCATTGTAATATGAAGGTAATTGGGTACTTGATTTCCTTCAGTGGGAGGTTAACTTTTGTTCTCTTCAATAAGGAGCAAGTGGGTTTAGATGAAAACCAGAGGTGGATTCTTTGTATGGAAGGAGCAGTGATTTCTGCCAGTGGAATGGCTCCATCCAGACTTGGATCTGCAGGAAGTCCGCAGGGTGCCGTTGAGCCGAAGCAGTGTCCACGGATACCACAGGCGTGGGAGAGGACACAGAGGGGAACAAACCAAAGTGGGGACAGTCATTGGATTCTTTTTTTCTAAATTGCTAGAGTATCGGTAGAAAAGTGGACCTTTAATGTGTGGGTTTGCTGGGTTGTGCAGCACAGAGAACTGGGTTTGTCAGTCTGATAGCCTCACGACAAATAGTTACTTGTTAATACTGCCCAGGGGGACCTGGCATTGCTCAGGATTTATAACTGTCCCATCATTAGTGATTTGATGTGTGTTCTAAACCTGTGAAATTTTCCACCACAGATTAAGAACGTCCATATATTATTTTTACTAGTCCGTCAGTTCTTGCCTGAGGCTGCATGGGGGGGGGGGGCGGAGGGTGGAGATGGTGGTGTTTGAGTCTCCCTAAAAGTTAATGCTGTGGAAAGTGAGCAGAAATGCTAAATCAAGCAAGGTAACGGTGCTTCCTGGCACTTGTACAGGCCACAGCTCTGTCCTCATGCCAGGGCCGGGAGCACTGCGGATGCTGAGTCATGAGTGTGGTGTAGAGATTGCAGAGAACTTTATAGACTCAGCAAACAAGCCACCTTTGCAGGCTGCAGTAACCTGACCCAAACTAATCACTAAGAAGTTTATATATATGTTAGAAGCAGAAGAGCTAACGGCCTCCAGAGGTCATTGGAGGTCCCCAGAGGAGGTCTTATCATTAGTAAGACACGCCAAATCTTGTGTCAGTTGAAACTAAAACTTAAAACAAAGGGTAGTTCAACGCTGGCCAAATAAGTGTTCATTGCAGTTTGTTTGTGGTCATTGCTTTTCTCTTATTTATGACCCATTTTCTCCAAACAGCTCATATACCCAAACTTGCTTCATATATAATGAATTAATGGTAACCGTCTGGTTTTTATGTCTATATCTGTGTGTATATATATATATGTATATATATATATATACCCCTCCCTCCCAAACTTAAATGATATGCCCCTTAAATATCTTGTAGCAGGATTTTTTAACCTAACAATATTATAAGCATTTTAGCATATGTTAAATAATCTCCTAAACTTTTATTTTAAAATATACATGATATTTTTTCCTATTTATTTGCTATAATTTGTTTAAAAATCCCAAATTAGTAGATATTTAGATTGTTTCTAATCTTTCACTATACAACCAACTCTAAAGAAAGGCTTTTCAGACATATTTGAACACATCTTTGATCATTGCTTAAGGATTAATTCTGATAATGGGATTTTTCTGGGTCAAGACAGGCACCTTGTTTTAAAGCTTTTGTTACATCTTGAGTTTTTCTTTCTGAAAGTTTATATATAAATCCACATTCACACCACTATTACATACATATTTTTAAAAACATTTTTTTAAAAAAATTTCACATTGCATTCCATGTTGTTTAAGAAAATCTTAAACAGAGTACCAGAAATTAACATAGAAGATTGTTTGGGTTAAATAAACCTGTTTTGTGCAAACCTTCTTCCAAAGATCTCAAACTATTTAGACCAGTGGTTCTCAACCTTCTGGCCCTTTAAATACAGTTCCTCATGTTGTGACCCAACCATAAAATTATTTTTGTTGCTACTTCATAACTGTAATGTCGCTACTATTATGAATCGTAATGTAAATATCTGATATGCAGGATGGTCTTAGGCGACCCCTGTGAAAGGGTAGTTCGACCGCCAAAGGGGTCACGATCCACAGGTTCAGAACCGCTGATTTAGACAAAAGTACACATACACAATACACACACACACACACACACACGCACACGCACATGTGCACACATATACACACATGATTAGAGAGAAACAGATTCACTAATAGCCTGTTGGCTTTGAAGTTAAATATAAATGTGGACATTTACTATATTCTGGGAATTAATTTGAAGCAAAGTGATGAGTCCATACTTCCTGAAGCTTGTCTAGGTTTTCCTACTTCATCACCGCCTGGCTCCTACCTAGTTCCCACTTCCAGCTCAGAAGGGGCTCATGTCTTAGGCTTTTACTTTTGCTGGGTGAAAAGACTTCTTTTCTTATGAGGCAAATATAGGCACTGGAGAGGTCAACCACCTAAGCAGGTAACATAGCCTAGGTGCCAGGTAGTCAGTAAGTACATAGGGGAGACTTCTGTTCTGCACCTGACACAAAATTAGCTTTTGTTGGAGTTTCTAGCACAGTGCTTTGCACACAGTATACAATAAAGCAGTGTTGTTGACTTGATCAACTTTGTTGATGAACCTATTAAAAATAAATTAATTGTTAGTATTTTAGTTCTTATAAAAGTATTAGACATCCATATGACAGCATAAAAGAGTATTTTAAATTTAGCATATTTCTATTAAACCCCTTTAAGGTGAACCATTAACTTTATGTGCTTGCTAACACTTTGGTTTCTCTTCTGCTGATAAAAAGAGCTACCACCTGGCCAGCAGTATACGATTGGATAGAGAGATGCAGTGCTCCCATCCCTACTTCCCTCGACCTTATTGGGTAGGGAAATTGTCCTCTCCTTGCTCTATTTTCTCACCCTGACTTCTTCCTGTTCCCTTGCTCACTCCTGCCCAGGGTCATAAGAGTGACCTAACTGGTGGGAAGGGGTTGGGCATGACTGTGTAATCCCTTCCTCTCTTTCTTTTGTGATATCACCTCCCTACAGGAAGAGCACCTTCTCTCTACTTTTCCATGCTCTCAGTTGTATAGTGGCAGCCTGGGAAGGGGGGAGGTGAGAAGGGTTGTTTGCCCCATGTTGTCTGTGCTTAGGTGGTAAGTCTGGATAACTCAGGGTATAGCATTAGCAGGCCTATTGGATTCTCGGTGAATCCTCTCCTCCAGTATAGTGCTATCAAAAATGAAGGTGATCTATTTTTTCTTTGTTTCAGTCCTGTGTCACTCTTATTTGGTTCTAAACTTAATTGGGTACCACTTCACATCCTCTAGGATGGCTATAATAAAAAAGATGGACAACAACAAGTGTTGGCAAGAATGGAGAACTGGAACCCTGATACACTGCTGGTAGGAATGCAAAATGGTGGAGCTGCTTTGGAAAATAGTTTGACAGTTCCTCAAAATGCTAAGCATAGGGTTCCCTTATGACCCAACAATTCTAAACCTTTACATATCCAGGAGAACTGAAAACATATGTCCAAGCAAAAACTTGCACATGGATATATCTAGCAGCATTATTTATAATCGCAGAAAATTGGAAACAACCCAAATGTTCATCAGTTGACCAGTATATAAACTAAATGTGGTATAATCACACAAAGAAACATTATTCAGACATACAAAACAATGAAGTACTGATTCATGCTACACCATGGATCAGTCTTGTAGACATTATGCTAAGTGAAAGAAGTCAGACACCAAGGGCCACATATTATAAGATTGCATTTATTTGAAATGTCCAGAATATGTTAAGCAAATCCATAGAGATCAAAAGTAGATTAGTGGTTTCCAAGGGCTTGGGGGGTGGTGGTGCAAAGGAGGAATGGGGAATGACTGCTAGTATAGGGTTTCCTTGTGAGGTGATCAGAATATCCTGGACATAGTGGTGGTGGTTTCACAACCCTCTGAAAATACTGAAAACCACTGAATTGTATTCTTTTAAAGAGTAAATTTTATGGTTTGTCAATTATATCTCAAAGGAAAAAAGCCTCAATTAGGGGAATGGTGGTTTATTTAACTACCTTCTCAACAAACATCCATCTTCTGCTCCTTTAAGATTTTGCCACTTAGGCTCATGAATAAGCCCTTCTTATTTATTAGGTTCCAGGTGCTGGATATACGTCAGTGAACCAAATAGATACAAATCTCTGTCTTCCTTCTTTTTTTTATCACTGTAATCACATCACCCTCCTACAGTGTTTTTTTTGTGCTTTCCTTATCAAATCACCACTGTGGCTCAGCTTAAATTTCCTTCTTCCCCAAAGACTTCCAGGCAGGGATTGTCAGAGGGAATGGGCCTCCGTGGGCTTGGCTCAGGGCAGGCCTGAAAGTTAAAAAAAAAAAATCCCCATGAAATCAAGAAAGCAGACAGTACTGGCTCCTCACAAAGCTATTTTAAGTTTGAGTAGTACAATTTTGTGTGAGCTATTAAAAATTTATATGGCATTGGTACAGCCAAACTGTTTTCATACTTGAATATCACTGCCAGTTTAATGAAAGTAAATAATTAAACTGGTGTCGCGGTCACAAGTTCTCTGATTCTCTAAAATAATTTTTCATTTTCTTATTCTGCCACATTCAAATTCAGATATATGTGTCCAATTATAGATATCTTTTTCTCTTTTGCTTACCAGCCCACTGATTTATTAAATAGGATTGATACACCCTGCTGGTTGATAAGTTTGAGGAATTTAAAGATATGCATATAGAATAGTGAATATATTGTTATATTTAGAAATAGAGCCTGGAATATCAAATAGGAACTAAGGGCTATGTAGTTTCTTTTCAAACGTGTATCCACAGGTTCAGGAGTTGATTGACAAAATCAGAGCTTGGTCACCATGAACGGCCTAGTTTATGAGAATTTCTTAATGAAGATGATATGAACTGAGTGATAGAACTTGACTGAAGCAGATGAGGTCATTAAGCAGACACAAAGGTGGGGCAATTTTAAAGTAAAGTAAATTGAAAAAAAAGGTTTCCTTTTCCAAATGGTTGTATTTAAAGTGAGTAGAATAAAAAAAACATTCCTTCGTTTGATCATTAATACCTGGGATCCAAATCTTTCGCTCCTCTGTGTTATCAGCAGGCTCACAGAGTTGCTGCCCCAGCCACTTCTGATTACGAAGTGTTTTAAAGGATGCACATGACTTCAGTGTTTCGGTATTTGCAGGAGTGGCCTGGTCGTTTCCAGGGGAACGACTCCTTAGCCCGGCAGCCCTGTGGAGCCGTGTCCGTTACTGGAGCATCACCTGGCCGTGAAGCGCTCAGCTCTGTGCCAGTGGGAGGCTGAGAAAGTTGGGAGCATACTTACTAGGATTTTTAAGTTCCTTTGACTAGCCAGTAACTCTCACTTATCAGATGTTCCACTTTGCTCAATTTAATGAACTGACTGACAGTTTTGTATCCCGAAATGCCTCTGGGGGCCCACATAGACTGGTGTCGTGTGCTGAATGAGCCCTTTGTGGCCCCCCTCCCTACTGTTTGCCTGGTCACCGATGTGTCCCACTCATAGGCGGTGGTCTCCAATTCACTGGCCAGCACTCTTGAGCTGCTTGAGGCCTTCCTGACTAATCCGAGAGCCTGAAAATGTGGGATTCATCTTGGCTTTTCCTGTTGTTGGAAGAGCATTTTAACAATGCCTCCCTCTCTGTACATGGAGGTAGTGGTTACTGTGAGATAGTGGGTGTTCAAGATGGCTAGTTCTTGTGTCGAAGGCACCACTAACTGCCCAGTGCCACTGTGGACAAAGCCCACTAGAAGTGGCCGGTTTGCCTGCTCCACTACCGTTACCCTGTTTCCCAAGAGGGAATGCCTCTTTTCAGTTGGGATTTATTTAATATGAAATACCTCAGGATGTTCCTTCGCAGTGGTGTTTACAAAATGCTGCATAGATCCATAGAGTTGCTAAATAGTATTTCACTGGTAATACTTTCTTGAAAACTTGGTATATATTTAGTAATTAGTAACTAAGAAAATTCTTTAATACTACTAACACCCATACAAAATTAGAACCTGCCAAACTATTTGTAGTGCTTAGTATAACTACATAACTAGATATTAACACTTTTTTGTGATGATAAACATCAGGGATTGGATGTTACCTCAAGTCTCGTTTGCGGTCCGAAAAATATGGTGCTCCACATTTAAATATACAGGGAACTAAAGCAGTTTCCTTCGGACAATACCCTGTTTTAATTAAAACAGGTAACAATGGCCTTTATACTGAGAGAGCATCAACCTTCAGTTTCCAATGCAAGTTAAATCTAAAAAAAGAACTTGGGAATATTTTCTGGGGAAAAATGAATATTTTTAGGAGTATCTGGAAAATACAGTTTTTCTTAGAAAGGTCAAGTAAATATGACAGTGTTTGCTATGCATTTCTAATAATCACCTGATTTAAGATAGCCTTTTGGTATGATACAAAATGCTAAATAACCAGTTTGATGGAATTTGCAGTTACCTGTGACTGTTTTTAGAATCATGTGAAGACTCTGAAGTTTAGTTATAGAGTCATGACCTGGATTCTGAAAGTGCTGAGATGTGTGATACCATTTGTCCTTATAAGTTCCAGAGTTGAATATGCAAATAGAATTTGACATATTATATACAAGTCAAAATTTATATACAAGATTATTGTATGAGAACTGAAAAGCAACCTTTATAAAATATTATCAGGGTTATAATACCAAATTTAGACAACCAACATGGAAAATTTGTATTATGCTCTGAGGCTATTGTAGTACAGTATAATAAGCAGTGATCAGAATGACTATAAATCATCAATAAAAAGTCAAAGTATGTCCAGTATATTCTACGTAAGAAAATAAATAGGAAGTTTCTGGTTAAACAATGTGACTTCAATGCTTATATTTATTCCCTTCTATAACCCACTCAAATAGCAGTTAAGAAGTAAAAAGGGCAAGCCAAGAGAAGAAACGCCAGCAGATGAGAGGTGTCCATAAAATTGTAGGAGAGAGAAAATGGATGAGGAGTCATTGTCCAAGGTTTGAGCTTTTCCTGCTCTCCCAAGTTCTTCTGGGCAAACCCAGAAGCCAGCCAGCTCATGTCACTTCACCCAGAAAGGCTCAGGGATTGAAGGCACATGAAAACAGAAAGGTTGGTTAAAAGTCTGCCTGGAGTCTATTTAAAATCCCTGATCTACTCCATACCTCATATAGCCAGGTAGCCATATCTCCTGTACTCTGGTAGAAGAAGTCAGTTTTTAGAGAAATATGGAAAGGAGGGAATTATCAGAGAAACAGTAAAAGTCTCCCAGAACTGAAGTGCATGCATTTTCTCGATTAAAAGGTATAACAGAGTGCCCAGCACATTGAATAAGCAAAGACCCACACCAATGCATGTCATGAGATTTTATGAAAATGGGGATAACTAAAATTTCTTAATGTCTTCATGAAAAGGGAAAATAGATATGATAGAAAATATCTATCATTAAAGTTACATCCCACTCACAACAAGAACATAGAAGTTGTGAGACTATGCAAAATGCCAAGAGAAAATAATCTCTATTCTAGAATTCTCTACCCACCCAAATGATCACTCAAGTTTAAAGATAGAAAAAGAAATGTTCAATTGTGCAAGTTTTCTCACCAACTTTATCTTCCATAAACACTTTTTCAAGAAAGTAGCAGAGGATGTGTGCCTCCAGAAAAGGGAGGGTGAGATAATGAATGGAGAAGACATGGGGTATAGAAATCAATATAGCAGGGGTGAGGGAAGGGAGCTCCCAGGGTGATGCTGCAGAGAAGTCCTGGTTGGCAGGTATGCATCAGGCCTAGTAGGAGGTCAAAGGGAAACCATAAGGGTGTCTCCAGGAACAAAATAAATTGTGATAAATTACCGTTATGTTTGATGATAGGAGGAGAGTTGTAGATAATATTTTAGATAGTGGGGCTATTAAATACATGGGAAAGTCAGCAAACAAGAAAACAAAGCAAATATTCTTGAAAAAATTTAAAATGGATCAAAAAAGAATATGTAATCACAACTATGTACAATTTTTGCATAGTTGTAATAGAAACACTAAATACCAATTTAACCCAAAACTGGTGATGCGGATTGGAATGCACTAGTATTGAAGGCAAGAGGGTTGTTAAGATTCTATATTAGGTAGATAAGTCTAAAGTGAAATCAGGACAGAGGAGTAAAAATGTTCCATTCAGAAATACATAAGTAAACAGAAGAAGCAGTTAAAAATGATTGCTGTGGAGGTGGGGCGAGAGGGAGGAAGGAACTAGCTATATTAAAAAAATAGGCCTTGTAGTTACTATTTGATTTTGACAACTAATTTGTATATTACTTCCAATTTTTAAAACTAATTTTTAATAGTAGGAAAGGAATTAATGACGTTTTATGTAATTTTCCATAAGAAATGATTACAAATAACAACATTGGGGTCTGTCCTCAGTTAGGTAGAAGACCTTATTCCAAAACAGTTGATGTGCCCGCAACCCAGGTACATGCCCTTGACCGGAATCGAACCTGAGACCCCTCGGTCCGCAGGCCGACGCTCTATCCACTGAGCCAAACCGGTTTCGGCTAAAACTAATTTTTAATAGTAGGAAAGGAATTAATGACGTTTTATGTAATTTTCCATAAGAAATGATTACAAATAACAACATTGGGGTCTGTCCTCAGTTAGGTAGAAGACCTTATTCCAAAACAGTTTCTGTTAAGTATCTACTCCCTTCCATGCTTAAGAAAGCTATATAAGTTGTACCAGTGGTATTGGTGTGTCTTATTCCCACCAAGCCTTTTCTCCTTCATTAAATTTTATAGGCACATGCTTGTCATAGGGAAGTTGAAAAATTGCCTAGCGCTTTGAGATTTCATATTAACCAGGAAGAGGTTTTAGGACCTTCCTCACAGTTGTTTTTGCTTTATAGACGCGTCCCAAGGAGTGAATCATGATGCAGAAAACATAATTTCTCAAACCTTCTGCGTTGTAGGGTGGAGAGCACTGTTATTACCATGGGAGCATCCGAGGCGTCAAGGACTCCCGGGCAGCTCTGTCGACCTGCAATGGACTTCAGTACGTGAGACTCTCATTGGGACAATGGACTTGCTTCCATTCATTCATCCTTCCCATCTTTTCTTTCATAGATAAGTCTTGTAGTGCCTCTTCTGTGCCAGTCCTATGTCAGAGACTGGATATGGAGTGATGAACAAGGAGGGCGTAGTCTCTATTTTCTTTTTAATCTTTAATTTCTTTATTGATTAAGGTATTACTCTATTCTCTTAACACTTAGAGTTTGCAGGAGATTCTGAGGTTAAACAAATGATTACACAGATTAATATTTAATTTGCCTTTTTGGTAGGTACTGTGAAGGGGAAGGACAGGGACTTATAGGGTGACCTAACCTAGATCCAGGAATGTTTCCCAGAGGTGGATGCTGGAGGACACATCAGCTGGATCAGACCTAAGGATAACTAGGCGCTAGCCAGGTGCGGGGGGTGTGAAAGAGAGGAGCTCATGCATCAGCTTTGAGGCAGGCTTTAAAAAACACCTGTAGCTGCCTTTAGACCCGAACCCACACACGCCATGTAAAGATCTATTTGTGCTCATGTGAAGAAAAAGGATCTCAAAAATCTGATCTCTGCACATAACAAAAATTTCTGTATCTCCAAAAATTAAATGTGATTTTCAGCACAGAGGCATTCTGCTTAATGGAAATTCACAACGTGCAAGCGTAAAGATCCTTCATTTGCCTCTTTCGAATCAGATGGCTTTAGATTATTGTTACACATGAAGAACCTGACTATTTTCTTATCAATGATATTGGATTTGCATAACAAGAAATTTGGACTAGTCGTGCATTATTCTGGAGAAACAACTCGCGATACTGGAACTGCATGAACAGTCCAATCCCAGATTAACCTTCTAATCTGTCCATTTAATTAAAAAATTAATCATATCATGTATAATTTGTCGCTCTTGGTGTATACTTTTTACACCCTGTGTAGCCTAGATGCTGTCTAGTGTAGTGTGGGGACCACCATGGGGTTCTGTGCAAATATATAGTTTAGATTTGAGGCAGTATAAAGGTATTTATTTAGATATACTCTTTCTTTTTTTATCTTTAATTTCTTTATTGGTTAAGGTATTACAAGTGTGTCCTCATCCCCCCCATTATACTCTTTTCTTTTAAAGATGCAATATGCAGCTCCCCTGCTATTTCTTGCTGTTTGCTGTAATTGTTAATTTTCTCCTTGTGTGGTTTCTCACGCTGCAGTGGTATGTTTGAAGATAATACCTTTGTGTATATGATTGAACCACTGGAGCTGATTCATGATGAGGTAAGTCTGGCTGTGACATCAGTTTCCTTGTGATGTTTTATTCTTTCAGCATCTTTGCCTTTGAGCAATAAAGAGAACATAATGTAGATTTCACTGTGCATTTAAACATAGTACCTGTTTCAAACTTGGGGGGGGAGAAAGAGAGAGAGAGAGAGAGAGAGAGAGAGAGAGAGAGAGAGAGAGAAGGAAGGAAAGAAGGAAGGAAGAAAAAAGGAAAGGAAAGGAAGAAAAGAAAGAAAAGAAAAGAAAGGAAAGGAAGAAAAGAAAGAAAGAAACATTGCTGTGACACATGCCCCGACTGGGATTGAACCCACAACCTGGGTATATGCCTTGACTGGTAATCAAACCCACCACCTTTTAGTGTATGGGACGACCTTCCAACCAACTGAGCCACACTGGCCAGGGCTAAACTAGCTTTTATTCTCACTCCTTCTTTAGATAATTGTACAACTATTAAGCATGTACTTAACTTTTGTGAGTCTGAGAATCTACAGTGGGGAAATTTGTGGGTTGAACTATGATTATATTATATAATATTTAGGTTTCTTTAGAGGTAGGGGAGAAAATAATGTTTAGAGTCATTCACAGGCCATCAACTAGACAAAAAAATCACAAGGACATTATGCTAAGTGAAATAAATCAGGCAGACAAAGAGAAGTATGGTATAATGTCACTTATCTGTAGGGGCTCTAAAAAAACAACTTACAGAAATAGAAAACAGATTAGTGGTTACCATAGGCCAATGGGGAAACGGGTGAAGATGGTCAAAAGGTACATTCTTCCAGTCAGAAGATTATTAAGTTCTGGGAGTGTAATATACACCATGGTGACTATAGTTAACAATACTGTATTATATATTTGACAGTTACTAAGACAGTCAATCTTAGTTCTCATCATAAGAAAACATTTTGTATCATGTGAGGCGGTGGCTGTTCACTAAACTTATTGTGAAGATCATTTTGCATTATATACATATATCAAATCATTATGCTCTACACTTTAAACTTATACCATATTGTATGTCAATTATATCTCAATACATTCTAATAGTGTTGCTCACTAATAGCATGTAGCCAAATTTAAAATTTGGTATATGTTCATCAAATACTGTAATGAGAGTTACTACATGCTGGGTACTGTTTTAGGTGCTGGGGATAAAATGGTGAACAAAATAGATATAGATCCTGGGCCTAATAGATCTTATAGTCTACAGGGGCAGACAGGAATAAACAGACTGGATAATTAATTATGGTATATTAGACAGTGATACATACTAAGGGTTAAAAATGAAGCCAAATGGAGTTAAACCTTCACTTTAACTATCCAGGGAAGGGCACAATGGGATAGTAGTTTTGAATGAAGACCTTCTAGACATTAGGGAGCTGGAAGAACATTTCAGGAGAAGAGCCCATGCAAAGGCCCTGAGGCAGGGCTGTTCCCAGTGTGTTGTAGGAAGTTAAAGGAACCCAGGTTGGAGAGGAGTTGAAAAGTGGGGGGAATGGTAGCCAATGAAGGCACTGAGAGGTAACAGTAGGGATGTTATGTCAGTGAAAAGCACTGCTACTGGGAAAATATTGTGAGAGTGATAGGATCAGAATATTGCAATCATTTGATGGGGAGCAGAAAATGATTTTGATCTTTAGAGATTTCAAATGTAGAAAAAATAAATTTTGAAACAGGTAGCCTGGCTGGTGTGGCTCAGTGCTTGAGCATCGACCTATGAACTAGAGGAGGTCACAGCTCGGTTCCCAGTCAGGGCACATGCCTGGGTTGTGGGCTGGATCCCCAGTAGGGGGAGTGCAGGAGACAGCTGATCAACGATTCTCTCTCATCATTGATGTTTTTATCTCTTTCTCCCTCTCCCTTCCTCTCTGAAACCATAAAAATATATTTTAAAAAAGAAACAGGTAATAGTCATATATGTAGGCTATTGACAATAACAGTTGAACACATTTAATTTCTTTGTTGTGGCAATGTATGAATATCAGGTAAGTTTCAAATTTGAGACAGAAAAGTCACTAAATTTTAAATGGTAAATGTGTGAATAATCCTATATAATTTTTTAACTGGTAACTATAAAAATTAACAGATAATGAGACAACGCCACCCAGATAAAGACATTTTGATTAAGTAAAATGTTTGTCCAATACTACAGTGGTAGGTAGAAAGCCTGTATACTGTATAGCAAAATTATTTGACAAGTTCAGCAAAAAATTAACTTTGATTTCTGGCATTAATTAATAGCCCTGTTCCCCCCCACAAAAAAAACCCACAAAAAAAAAAACACAAAACAAAATAAAGTAAAACCTACAGAACAAAACCAAACCAAAAAATAACAACTCCTTGCCCTGATCAGTGTGGCTCAGTTGGCTGGAGTGTCGTCCCATGCGCCGAAAGATGGCGGGGATGGGGGTGAGGGGAATGTCCAGCTCCCATCAGGGCACATACCCAAGTTGTGGATTCGATCCCCTGTTGGGCCACTTGCAGAAGGCAATGCATTGATGTTTCTCTCTCACATCAATGTTTTTCTCTCTCTCCTTCTTCCTCTCTCTAAAATCTTTACAACAG